GATCTTTTTTTTGTACAGTTCTTCTGTGTATTGTTGCCACCTCTTCTTAATATCTTCTGCTTCTGTTAGTTCCATACTATTTCTGTCCTTTATTGAGCCCATTTAAGATGGCCTCAAAGGCCATAACTTTGTCATTATTTTACTATTGTCTGCCCTCTTGGAGTCACTTATATCTGTGGTCTCTGTGCAGAGGAACTACTGTAATTATGGCTACTGGGTATCTTTTCCCGGTTTTCCTCTCAGTGACATCACACCAGGAACTCACGCCAGCCTGCAACAGGAGCATTTACACCACAGAAATTGGCAACAGTTATGAATAAGCTTTTCCCATTTATTTTTAACTGCCACTTAGGAGTTACCCAGCACACTGCACTTTTGGGTGAGCAGAGAGAACAGGACACAGTCCAGCTAGCCTGCCCCTTCCAGACCCATCCATGGCAGTCACAGGCCACGTGTGTGGAAGGCCTGAGAACTGTATCTGCACTGTGCAAGCTGTGGACTAAAGGATTTTAACTGCGAGCACTTTCTTTGACTTCATCAACACTTTGGAGGAGTTGAGTTAGCAAAGTTGCTTTTTATATCTTCATCCTGGCTTACCTTGACATCTGGTGTTTACACAAACTGAGATTTCAGGACAGGGCGGTTGGAGGCCAAGGGCAGCTCCTGGAGACAGATGGGCAGAGTGTCTGCCTTGGCAGCATCTGCAGCATGGGCAGCAGCAGTCCAAGGAGGCACCACTGACCTGCGGGTGGGCAGAGCATGTCTGCCCAGCCATGCCTTTGGCATCAGGCGGGAAGGATCAGAGCTGACAGTTGTCACAATGAGGGCAACCTCACTGTGGAATATGGTCATCCAGAAAGGTGGGTGATACAGGGCTTTTTAGATGGAAGTGTGACTGATATGTTGCACACGGGCCTATTGATGGACCTGCTTATGAAGATGCAGCGACTGAATGTGTGGTTTATGATGATCTTAGCCTTATGCATTGTCGTATGGATCCTCATGGGAAAAACAAGCACAGCCACAAACTCAGTTTTGCTCACAGTATGAGAAAATGAAAGCCACCTTTGGAGTGGAAAGTACTTGTTACCTGGAAGACAGACAGGAGCCTGCAATCACTACCTTTTCACTGTACAAGTAAAAAAGAAAACATCCATCAAATCAACTTTTTTTTTCTGGAAAACACACACACCCACAAAGATGCATTTGAATACTCCCACAAATTCATATTTAAGAACAGTGTTTTTCACGTCAGAACGGTAATCACAAAGGAACCCAAAGGAAAAAAGCAGGCACATCCACAATATATCCCCGCTGTGTTGGGTCCATCATCCTTAACTTTGTGAATTGTCACACCCCCGGGATGAATGACGAGAATATAACAGGTTGCAGAATTGGAGAACGTGAAATCTTTGTTCCTAATGGCAAAACATGTTTTTCTCATTTTCATCAGAATGTGTGATCCATGCCATTTGAAATCAAATTCCAAACACTATGAGCCATTAGTGTAATAGCTCATTACTAACAGCGGTCTTATAAATAATACATTCTTATCATGCACACGCAGCTCGCCGCGAAGCCAGCAAAAGGTATTTCAGGCCATGGAAGTTGCGCTGCGCCAGCGTGGCTGTAGATGAGAAGGACATCTCCATGTGAACCAAGATGGATGCCAATTTTCCCTGCCGAGAGGGAGGCTGGCCGTCTCTCCCTGCACATATGGTAGATGGATTGGTTAATCAGCGTCTGCTGAGTCTTGGGCCTAAAATTACAGAGAAGCCAGACAACTGCGGCTACCACAGCCTTTGTTCACACGTGCAAACAAGACAAACAATCACTTGCTATTTGGGAAAAAAATTAAAATGTTTATTTTGGACTTTTATTGAAGTGTCGATGGATTTGTAAAACAGCTGTGTGAATCCAGCCTTTCGCAGTTAGTATTTGGGGGGGCCTGTAAAGAAAAGAATATGGATGGAAAAAAATTCATTAGAAAAAATTCCTCTTGTATCCTAGCATTTGGGAGAATTACAGGGAATCTCATATTTACTTTTCAAACACATCTTGGAGAACAAACAGTTTTGAGCCAGAAGATACATTTGAGAATGAATAGCTTAATAGCTAACTTTTTTTCCCTCTAAAAGAGTGTTGTAGCTTCTTGCTCTACTTTAGGGAGTATTAACCATTTTATCCAACTGGGCATTTATGGAATGATGTCGCATTCTTAGGATCTAGGAGTTCTGACAATTGTTGAGCTCTTCTGACTGAATGGTTGTCTCAAGAAAGAAAATCTGAACTCTGGAGGGCTAGAACCCACCCAGTAAATGCTGTTTTCTTGTAAGAGCTGTCAGAGTCAAATCAGTTACCAGAATTTGCTTAGAACCCACATAAAGATCAAAGGAATTATTTATGCGAAATGTGTTTATTTTTCTTCTTCCCAATTTTACTGAGCTAGAATTGATATATAACATTGTATAAGTTTAAGGTGTCCAACCTAATATTTTGATATATGTATATATTGTAAAATAATCACTATGAGTGAGAATAGTTAACCCGAGAACTCTGTATTCCTTCTTGCCTCTTTTAAAATTTTAAATGCTTTCCTTGCAGAGAAGAGTGAAATCCAGAATTACTAAAGGAACATAGTAAAGAATTTCAATCACAGTCATCAGTCAATGTGGCATTAAAATTTGATAGAATTGAAATTTGTTGTTAATTTATAATATGTCAGTACCAGTAATAGGCCTAGATCAGCTAGTCACTTATGAAAAGATATGTTGTTTTCTCCACTCAGAACACTTATGATCCCAAATGTGTTGCATCTTTCCCACACCAGCCACTTCTCCAGCTTCTAGTCACTAGATGGGTATCTTGCAGTCTAATTCACTAGATGGGTATCTTGCAGTCTAATTCACTTTCTGATACTGCTCAGCCTTAGTGCAGACCCCACAGATTTAGGGCTCAGGCCCACAAAATTGCCCCCATCAGATGTCATTCACAAGCCCCAGATTGTCCCCTGTGCTTTTAACTGACCAGCGATAACTCACGGGTTCCCATGACCCCCTCGGTCATGTTTGAGAACCTGCTGGAAGGGTTCACAGAGCTCAGGTGATGCTTTACTTGCCATCATGGGTTCACTGTAAAGGATACAGCTCAGGATCAGGAAATGGAAGAGATGCACTGGACGAGGTGGGGAGGGCGGGGGGAGCTTCCATGCCCTCTCTGGGCCAACCACTGCCTGGCATTTCCGTGTGTTCACCAGCACGGAGGCTTGGGAACACCCCATTGTTCAGGTGTTTTTCTAGTTTTCCATTAACAGTTGATTAAATCTTTGGCTGTGGTGGCTGCACTCACTCTCTGGCTCCTCTCCCCTTCTCAGAGGTCGAGGTGCTGTGTGCTTAGTCACTCAGTTGTGTCCAACTCTTAGTAACCCCGTGAACTGCAACCCACCAGGCTCTGTCCATGGGGATTCTCCAGGCAAGAATACTGGAGTGGGTTGCCATTTCCTCCTCCAGGGAATCTTCCTGACCTAGGGATCGAACCCAGGCCTCTCACATTTCAGGCAGATTCTTTACTGTCTGAGCCTCCAGGGAAGCCCCGGAGGTTGAGGGAACATGGCTGAAAGTTCCAACCCTCTAATCACATGGCTGATTCCTCTGGTAACCAGTTCCCATTCTCTGAAAGTGACCTCATTAGCATAAACTCACGGACCATTGAAAGGGGCTTGTTATGAAGAATAAAAGACTCTCCTTTCAGGAAATTATGAGTGTTTTATGAACTTTGAACCAGGAGTGAGGGATGAAGACCAAATATTTCTTATTATATCTCACTGTCACCCTCATCTTCCCACTGATGTATTCCTCATCAAAGGCCTAAAATGATGAGGGCCATTGTAGGAGGTTTAGAATCAGGTAGGATGCTGAGAGGGCTTCTCTGGTGGTTCAGACAGTAAAGAATCCGACTTCAATGTGGGAGACCTGGGTTTGATCCCTGGGTTGGGAAGACCCCCTGGAGGAGGGCATAGCAACCCACTCCAGTATTCTTGCCTGGAAAATCCCCGTGGACAGAGGAGCCTGGCAGGCTACAGTTCGTGGGGTCACAAAGAGTCAGACACGGCTGAGTGACACAGCACAGCACAGGATGCTGGGAGGTGATTATGTTGTAGATCAGACACACCTGGTGAACAGGTGCAATGAGTTTATTTCTCTCAGAACTTTCCAATAAACCTCCTTCCTCTCATCTCCTCCCCATGAGACCATCCAGTCAAATATATGTTCAAGAGAATGAAAGAAATAAGTCTTCCCACGTGGTGCTAGTTGTAAAGAATCCACCTGCCAATGGAGGAGACTCAAGTGATGCAGGTTCTATCCCAGCATAGGGAAGATCCCCTGGAGAAGGAAATGGTGACCCACTCCAGTGTTCTTGCCTGGGAAATCCTGTGGACAGAGGAGTCTGGTGGTCTGCAGTCCATGGGGTCACAAAGAGTTGGGCACAATTTGAGCGCGTGCACACACACAACACACACACACACACACACACACACACACGAAAATTGAAGAGTACCTATCTGATGAGGAGAAAATTATTAACTTGTTCTAAATTAGGGTCAACCAGATGGCCACTAGAAATAATGGCTGGTCTTCCTTGGAACTGCATTGTGGAGGGGAGGAAGGTAGACAGGAGGGTTGGGCTTGCAGTAGGGAAATGAAAGGATTTAGGGCAGGCAGGGGTATTGTTTGGGCAAAGTTTCCCCTCAAGAGCACCATGACAGCCTCCCTAAGTTCCAGCCCCATCTCTAGGATGGTCATCCATGATGGATTGTCCTCCATCCAAGGTGGCCATCCGCGACATTGTTTTTGAGCCTGTCGTGTGCTGTGCACTGCGCCTGACCATAGGGTGCTCCTCCCTCATACAGCTCCAGGGGCCCACGGGCAGGGGCTTATGGGAGTTTCACGGTGCCCATTCACCTGAGGTCGGATGGTCATGAGATGTCTTGGACATTTCAGGTGGAAGGTGTGGCTGTCGGGTTCATGAGTGTGTGCTCACAAGTGAACCTGCAGCTCCTGCACAAGTGCTTTGACCTGGGACCCTTCCATGGCCTCTGCATCCCGCATCAGGACGATATCCTAGAACCACCCCAGGAGTTCAGCATCCATGAAAGTTCAGGTACAGTGGTTGTCACAGGAGCACGTGGGGATGGAGCTTTGTGCGCTGTGCTGTGCTTTTGACTCTGTGCTGGAAATGGGTGGTGGCACCTGCTGGGCAACTGTGTCCCCAGTCCCCTTCCAGGAGTGGTTCCTGGTGCCTCACAACCTTGCACCTGTATCTGTGAGCACAGAGGGTCAAGGGGCATGGCCCTGGGTAGACACCACGGCCTTGCCACTGAAGGTCTCCTGAATTCAGAATGTCTACCAATGTCTAGCAATGTTCATTATTAGAGTAGAGGTAAGTTGTGGTGAAATAATTGACAGCGTTTCAAGATTTTACTTGTGCATACACATAGAACCCAAAACCTGAATATCATAAGTGAATCTTTTTAAGTCAAGAACTAGAGAAATTCTGTATGTCCTTAAGTTTTTATTTTATTTTTTTTAATTGAAGTATGGTTGATTTATGTTATATTAGTTTCAGGTATACAGTAAAGTGATTCATTTATACAAATATATTCAGATATATGTATATATGCCTTTAAGTTGTAACCCCAACAATTAGTGCTTCTGTGTTTATGTCATCAACAACTTATTATGTAATACAGGTCTATTGCAAGTAGTCATTTTAAACTTGCTTATTTTTAGCCATCTACAATATTAGAACTGATTTTAAAATCACGTCTGTATTAGGATTTTCACCAGGTGAAACTGGGTCATCTCAAACTTTGGTATTTTAACAAAGTCTCTGTGCACCCATGAGCATCTTTGAGGTTAAGTGTTCTGTTTCTTAAATCAAGGAGATGCAGCAGGGTATGTAAATCTAGTTCTCCAAACCTAGGTTTCCTCATTTGTGAAATAGGAAGAGTAGTAACACCTCCCACGAAGGGGCATCGTGGGGTCTGACTGAGATCACTCAGGTCCAGGGCTTTATTCAGCATCTCCATCAAACTTAGTGCTTCATCAGCATGGATCCTCGTTTTGAGCGGTCATTATCCATCACTTTGTGGTTGGTCTTTCACTTACTTGAGTCTTCCCAGGTTAACATCTAGGCATCTTGAATTGCTCTGCTTTCTTGTGTCTGAAAGACTATATCAAGATTTTGCTCTTGTCTGCCAGTCTGGGCTCCATTTTTATGTTTATTTTTGAAGACAACTGTTGCATCAATATACTGTTATTTGGCATTGTTCATCATAAGTAATGTGTGCACTTTCTGTGTACATATATTCATATTTCAGTTTTTTTGCATAAAATAAATGCTTCTAGATGTAAAAAAAAGGAGATTGTTCAAAAATAGGAAGAGGAGCATGTGGGGATAAGCAGAGGACGCGTTGATCTAAACAACAACAGGTGTTGGTTCAGCAGATCTTATCGGCTGGACAGGAAACCAAGTGCATGGAGCTGGTCAGAACGTTCACACGGGTCACAAAGACCTTTCAGAGCTGTAGCTGGAGAGGGAGATCCCTTCTGTATTAATAAGACCTTTGAGGTCTTTATTGTTTCATGGTGAAGGCTGGCTTGCCCTTGCCTCTCAGTTAAGACATACAGGAGTGTTCTGAAGGAACCTTCAGCATGAGACAGTCTTGAATAATATATTATCATTGTCACTTTCCAATGTATAAATTCTTCTTGAAAGCAGCATTCAATGGGTTTTATGGCTTAGTTTTCTCATGCCTAAAATGGAGATAAAAATAGTATCAAAACCAGAAAGTTGTTGGGATGGTTAAATGTTAGAATCTACATGACAACCTTAGCTCTCTGCCGAGCATGGAGTAAGTTCAGAAAAAACTAAGGTTGTTTTTCCTCTCCCCTTGATTGTTGTCATTATTAAAAACAAGTTGAGGGACTTCCCTGGTAGTCCAGTGGTTAAGACTTCACCTTCCGGAGCAGGGGGTATGGGTTTGATCTCTGATCAGGGGACTAAGATCCCACATACTCCTCAGCCAAAAAACTATAACATACGGAAGCAGTACTGTAAAATAGTCAATAAAGACTTTTTAAATGGTCCACATAAAAAAAATCTTTAGAAAAATGTTGAAAAGAGATGGTTCCCTTTCAGTGTGTTTCTGAGTAGCTCTCAAGTTACATAGAATGACTCATAGATGTTACATAGATGTTCCTATCTTAGAAACTTTATGGGCAGGAACACAATTCAAAATTTAGACCTAACCCTGGACTTAAAAACACATAATCTGTTTAGCCAAAGTATGTCTGTTTAGCAAAAGCCCCAGAGATATGGAAACTGAAAGAAGTCTTACTACTCTCTCTACCACTTTTAATATTTTTACCTAAAATTAGTTGATCTAGGACAGGATGGTAGCTAAAGGAAATAGGAAAATTTCTCTTGTCATTTTGTGTGTCTTGTTTATTTTTGAAAATCCAGCTCCACTAATAAAAAGGTGATTATGAAGTTTCGTTACCAGGAAACACTACTGTAGACTTCCAAATAACTCAGGGATGGATTCACAAATCAACAGCTCATTATATTCCAGAAAAGAGTCACTGGCACATTTTGCTTCCCCCTTCACATCAACAGCAACAAAGAATGAGGCTCCAGAGAAAACTGGAAATGTGTTATGATCCTGTCCTTTTTTATCTGATGAAAGTCTCAAGTTAAAGGAAATATAATTTCTCTAAAATACAAGCTAAAATTCTTGCTTCAGTGGACACACACAGTTGTGCCTTATGCTTTCAATTTTGTTTATGCTTTTTACCTTTCAAAGGATTTTCATATATATTGTCTCATTTTATCCTCATGACTTGATGTACAAGAGCTAAGAAAGGTGCGTTCATGTGTGCTGTGTTGCTTCAGTCATGTTTGGCTCTTTGCAACCCCATGGACTGCAGCCTGCCCGGCTCCTCTGTCCATAGGATTCTCCAGGCAAGAATACTGGAGTGGGTTGCCATGCCCTTCTCCAGGGAAATCTTTCTAACTCAGGAGTCGAAACCACATCTCCTGGGTCTCCTGCCTTGGCAGGTAGGTTCTTCACCACTGGCACCACCTGGGAAAGGTGACCCCTGCTGCCCAAATTCACAAAAGGTGTTACAGCTCAGCAGGGGCTGACCCAGAACCCAGCTCAGCCTTCCACTTGACTTTTTGTCTAGGGTGGCTATGACAAAAACTCTAGTGGTGGGTCTACTATACAAATACATGATCAGTTTTTTCACTTCAATGAATTATTGAATGAGTTACCACTTTTAGGAGCTCTCAGTGATGTGTGTGTGTGTGTGTGTGTGTGTGTGTGTGTGTGTATGCTCTGGGCAACTCCCATCTTCTGGACTCTTCACCTCTTGTGTCTATGGGATTTGCCAGGACTGTGCACGGCCAATCTGTCCTGTGCCAGAGGTGGGCAGGAAGTACCAGGACATTGAGAACCCAGGAGCAGCCTCTGATTCTCCATTTCTTCTTTGGAAAATATTTATTTACTTATTTGGCTGTGTCAGGATCTTAGTTGCAGCACATGGGATCTTTCATTGCTTAGTTGCCCTGTAGCATGTGGGATCTTAGTACCTTGACCAGGGATCAAACCCGAGTCCCCTGCACTGGGAGGTGGGCTCTTAACCACTGGACCACTGGGAAAGTCCCCCAGCTTCCCTGTTTCTTGTCCCTGCTCCCCTACTGATATCTTCTCCATCAACTCCCAGATAGACAGTTGTGCTCAAATCCTTGACTCAGGGTCTGCTTCTGAGAGAACCCACCCCAACACACTGCTGGTCTAGTCTTTCCCCACTAACTGTGAAAACATTTACTTACTTCAACTGAAAGGAGTTGAGGTATAAATGCCTCAGCTCCCTCACCCCTCAGTGGGATAGCTTTGAGATTTGAGTTTTGCATTGTTTCTCAGAGCTCCTCCAGGAGATGAAGTTCCAGCTAGTGATCCATGTGATGACATATGTTTCATTAGCTGCCTTCCTTTCCTTTCACTCTTCCTAACCTCCCTACTGTGCTTCCTGAATCACCTCCCAAGTAAACTGCTTGTTCTCAGGTCCTTGACTCAAGGTAGGGTCTGATCCCACCAGCTGTGAAACAATTTCATGCAAACCTCCACCCCTCCAAGCAGAGTGACAACATCATGGCTCAACATTCCAGAGCTCATACAATGTCCCCATTCTTTATTTTTTCCAACCAAATTATTTATTAAGCAAAGAAACAAAAATGCAGTTTGCTAGCTTCTTTAGGTAAAGATCTTAAAATATTTAAATCTTTGTAATATGATGCTGATTATTTCTAATGATTTAACAATATCAAAGTTACATGATTCACTGTATTTCTGAATACAGAAACCATTTAACCTATATGGAATTTAGTTATCAAGTTCCTCCTTCTTTAGCTACTGTACATATTGTGATCAGCTGCCATCTCATCATTTCAGCCGTGTCCAAAGTTTCCATTGGATCTAAAAATGTAACCATGCACATTCACTTTGCATTTTACTTGAATAATTTGTATATGATCCCATTTTTTTAGCCACTGGTTCTTCATCTATAAATTGTTACACACACTTGTAAATTTGGGTTTTTAGCTACTAAACTTTGAGACTAAATTGGGACCAATGGGAACAAAGTCTAAGGATGCAGATTTTGTACAGTTTAAGGAAAATCTAGTAAAAGTTTATTTTTTATTAAGTGGAGTACCTCGTTTAGAAGTAGCCAAGTTCCCCCAGACATTGGAAAAATTCATGAATAGTCATAAGTCTCAGGAAAGGGCTTTCTACTTGTATGGGAGATTGTACTGAATGAGACCCAAGATCCCTCAAATGCCAGGAGTCTGAAAGCTGAGGGAACAAGCAGCAGGATGCTCCCTCCATATGCTGGCAGTTTATGAATATTTTCCTTCAGTGACAATAAAATGGCTCCAAACAATATGTATTTTTTCCAGTTGGCTCCACCGCTGGCCCAGCCCAGCGATTGCAAATCAAGCTGTGTCTTTTGTTCCCTGCATCATTACAATGAAGACTTTGGAACCAGAAGTGAGCTAGCAATTTTCTTGATGATGCATAAGGCAAAATAGGGCACAGC